GGAGGAGGAGAGAGAGTAGGAGGACCAGCCAGGTGGGCGTGCTCGGGCTGCCTCTCTCGCGGCTCACGCACGAGCGCCGGCAGTTCCTGTGCGGGGTGCGGTCCGCCGTCGTGCTCGGCGAGGCGCCTCCTCTCGCCCCGCGCGGCGGGTCGGCCCGTGCCGCTCCGGGGCTCCTCGCGCCCCTACACGCCCCTGCCCTGGAGGAACCGTCGGCATCTAATGCGGGATGACGATTAATACAAAAATGGGAGAGAACGATTAAAACATAGTTTTCTGCTATTTCTGCACAATTTTCGGACTGGAGGAGAACGAAGAAACATAGTTTTCCAGCTCGCGGCCGGTTTTTTCTAATCGTCATCCCGGGCGCCGCCGCGTGAACACGACCCCCGGTCATTTATTAATCGTCATCCTCCATTAGGTTTCGCTGCCCTGGTCGTCTTCGTCGCTTCTCTGCTCAGGAGGGGAAAAAACACACAGACACAATTCATCGTCCACTCACAGGAAAATATGGGAAACATATTGGGAAACATAGGGAAAGCAGTTATTTGTGTGTATTCATAGGGGAACAGAAAGTTACATAAACATTAAAAACTCAGAGGTCCGCGCGGATTTCTCGGATCGGCGCTGGACCCCTCTCCCTGGCGCGCGGAGCGCGCCAGGGGCGGCGCCGGAGGCGCCGCCGGGGGCGCCCCAGCGCCGATCCGAGAAATCCGCGCGGACCTCCGAGTTTTTATGTGTATGCCATTTTTTCCTCCCCTAATCTATTTGTGTGCCCCAGGGCCCCTTCATCTGCGGCGCTCCAGCCTCGAGGCTGCGTTCCAGCAGCTGCGCCTCGCCAGGAGCGTCTTCGAGGCTGCCCAGGTCGCACCTTAGCGGCCGCCGTCGGAGGCCTGAGTGGTGGCCGGAAGCCCCGACAGGCTCGCGGCGTGGGAGAAAACCAACGGCGGACGGTGCTTCGCTTGGCCTCCGCGGGCGCCTCGCGTCGCTCGCCGCTGCTCGTCGCGCGTGCACGCGCGCACGCGCCACACAAGCCGTGCCCACTCCAGCCCCACCACCTCCTCCTCCTCCTCCTCCTCCTCCTCCTCCTCCTCCTCCTCCTCATCATCATCATCATCATCATCATCATCATCATCATCCTCTCCCGCCAGCCAGGCGCACGCACACGCATACGCACACCGCACGCACACACCGCACGCGCAGCCCCGCCCGCGCGCCAGGCTCGCAACCCGCACGCATGCCGCGCACCCCCCTCGCCCGCCCGCCCGCCCCGCGCGCGCGCGCGGGGCGCTGCCTCCAGCGCGGCGGCTCGAGAGCCGGCGCGTGGGCGCCGCAGCGCGGCGGGCGTGCTTTGCCAGAGGCTGGCGCGGCGACTGGCACCCCGAGCACTGTAAGTACCCAGGCCACACGCACGCGCGCAGGCACGCGTCGCATGCCCGCACCCGCACACACACACACACACACACACACACGCACACACACAAGTACACAGACCACGCGCAACACCTCACCGAAGCAACCGCAGGCAACCACTCAACCGCCCGCCAGACACACACACACACACACGGAGTACGAGCGACACACACACACACACACACACACACACACACACACACACACACACACACACACACACACACACACACACACACACACACACACACACCGCACGCACGCCGCACGCGCAAAGGGACACCCCAGAGAGCATTGGGAGGCCCCCAGGCGGCCAAAGGTGTCAAAATGGCTTGCGAGAGTCCCCGCGGAACTTTAAGATACGCCCAGACAGCCCAAGAAGATACCAGTAGCCCCCTAGAGGACCCCGACAGCCTACCAAGAGGCCCCCAGGATGCCCCAAGCTAGCCCCAGATGGCCCAGCAGCCCCCAGGAGAGCTTCAAAAGATCACGAGGATCTCCCATTATTCGAAGTCCTTTTCCTCGGGCTCCTTACCGTCATCCTTCGTCGTCGTCGTCATTCGTCTCCTTCTCCTCCTCCTGCTCCCATCGCTGCCCTCCCTATCATCCACGCCGCCATCCTTGTTATCCACCGCCTTGACGTCGCCATCATCCTTCTGAACCCACTGGACAAAATCGGCGTTTCCCGTTCTTCTCCGATCAGATGTTCGCCGTCGTTCGTTCGCTCGCTCGTCGCCCCCCCACCCCAGACCCCCTTGCCCTTGCCCCTTCGTGATGGTCGTGATGGCCCCAGAAGAACACCAGGACAGCCCCAAGAACCACCCCCCTCCTCTTCCCGCCCGATCAGGCCCTCGCCCTCCCTGGCGCAAGAGCCAGAGCATGTGTGCCACCTGCTTTCGTGGACCTAGTGGCGCAGGGGGGCGGCTCATGACCAACCAAAGAGCCCCTTCCAGGCAGCCACGGAGCAGTCGAACAGGCCCCGACGTGCAAAGGGCACGGTGGCGGAGAATGCCAGGCTGACGGATAGATCGACGGCGATCGTTGACGGCGTATGCAGAGTGACAGACAGCCTTGGGGGCTCGTACCTGGATCGTTATCGATCGGTAGCCAAATCGGAAGAGATTCAGCAGTATGCGTATGTCATGGTGTAGGGCCGCGTGTGTAGATACTAGCAGAGTCGCACGATGTGTGTTTGATGGCGACCACTGGCAGACAACCAATATTCAAGCAATTGAGCTTGAAACAAGGCTGAAATGGTGTCCACTTGAGCCTTCTACAATGGCGATCTCATCAGTCACTGCTTTACCCGATGATTCGCCCGACGATTCACCCGAAACCTTGCCCGATACATCGCCCGTGCTGCGTCCTCGGCGTCACTTGACAAAAGATTTCAATTCCATGACTCCCAAATCACTCTTCTCCACTATGTTCGCTGGCCAGATGGATGACATGGTGGAGTGGCAAGTTGGGTTTTCCCAATTCACTCGCTCACTTGCCTTACCGCTTACATTGAACGCGCCAATATGAAATTGTGTGGGTCTGATATGACACCCCCTCACTGCAAGGCGTGTGTTGGCATTGTCGACGCGCTTGGCTTATCATTGAGCAGGTGCGGTTCGGTGAGTACTACTGCCCCCGACAGAGGCAACGGGCAGGGCTGGAAAGACAACAACGCCGCACTAGAAGACGTGATGGTTATTCACAGATGGTACGAGGTTCCCACCTGGAGAGCACTTGGAACTTTGAAGCTGCCCAGGTGACTTTCGGCTGCAGGCATCGTGAGGATAGTGCCGAACGGCAGGAATTATGATCTGGGTGCCTACATCGTCCACTTTGCCAGCGGCTTCTGCCCATTCTTTCCCGCCTCCTCATACTGGTACTCCTCCTGACTATTCGTCGTTCTCCCCTCTCTCGTTCTCCTCCGCGCCTCCGGGTTCGTCTCGCTCGGGAGCACAGGGCGAGGACGTCCCTGTGGCACGGTTCTTTGCGGACTCTTCAGGACGAATTGGAAACGTGTCAGGCGCTGTGCTTCTTTCTTGCCTCGTCCCCCTCCGCTTCCCTTTAGCCCAACTTCTTGTACCACAAAACCAAAAATGCGTACGGTGGCCGCGGGGATGTCCGTCACTGTACCGGCGCAGCACATTGTGTTGCGACCTTCGAAGGACCGCCCAGAGGTCCGAAACATGTGATAGAGAATGCCCCTCTGCGAGCTCGCAAAGGCAACACTATGTGATGGCTGTTTTCCAGAGCTCACCACGCATCAACATGCGATACCAAAGTTTTTCTGTCACCAGTGGGCCGTCGCTGGTAACGCCCACTTCCGCAGCGAAGAGGGCGTGGCAACACATGTAGCACAAAGCGGGTGGAAATACAACAAGAGAAAGGCGGGCAGTGGAGGAACGGAGCATAAAGAGGAGGAAAGGGGGAGTAACAGGACACTAAGAAGAAGAAGAAGAAGAAGAAGAGAGGCGGAGAAGTGGAAAAAGAAAGGGGGAGGAACGGCAGAGAGGCGGAGAAGTGGAAAAAGAACAGGAGCACAAGATGGAGGAGAGGGGGGGAAACAGGACGGACGAGACGTCGAAGACGGGGTCTCCGAGACGGCCTCCGAGACGGCCGGAGCGCATGACACACCCATTCTCAAGGGGCGCAGAGATAGGTTCGCGAATCATCTGGGAGCTTTCTCGGGGCGTCCGAGGCCGTCTTGAAGGCACTCGCCGGCATACCCTCTCGTCTGGAGGATACAGAAGGCAGTTACGCCCAGCAAGATCGCACAATGCGATCGCTACCTTGTCCATGGCTCAGAGAGCCATCGCACGGGGCACTCATGTATCACTGGTCCTAAACAGCCGTAGTATGCTCCCGAGTGGAGCTCGCTCCCTCAGTCCCGAAGACGCCGTAAGATGTGACAGCCCCCTAGATGACTAAACATGTCACATCTTGGCGTCCGCGATTCGGATCGCGCCGTGAAGTAACAGGATTCGCACAAGTCGCAGCCGTCACCTTTCACGCTGTATCGGTCATACCTGCGAGAGGATTCACATGGTTACCCCAGAACACCAGTGATTCGTGCTACGCAAGTCATTGGCCTCATCATAAGATCCAGCTGCAAGCGAAGATGTAGAAACATATGCGAGCTTCAGCTACACGCTACACCCAGAAAGCCGCCCAGAAGGGGGGAGGACTACGCAGCGTTTGTTGTACATATGCTTCAGGGGCAGATGATCAAGACTTCAAGGACATCGCCGCTGGATATCGAACCTGAGCGTTCGCGAGGCGCGCTCGTGGTTCTGGCCGGTAGTTTGCACTGCACGTTGAGATGACGCATCGTGGAGTGAGACCTCCATCATGCGAGTCGTAGGCGCGCCTCGCAGCAACGGCTGCGGTGGGTCTCACGAGCCGCCTCGCTGCCGTCTCTTGAGATGTCTCGAGGGCCGCACCCTCTTGGGCAGTGGCTGGTCTTCTCGGGGCTGTCCTGGGCTCCCCTTGGGCCGTCTTCGGGCCTCCCCGGCGGGGCTGTCCTGGCACCCCCCCCCTTCGTGGCACCGTCCTCTTCGCGTGCAGTGCTGCGTCCTCCTCTTCCTCCTCATACCAGTCGTCGCTTCGCCTCAAGACGCTTCTGCAGGAAGCAGTGCCCCGCAGGCACCTGCCATTGGCCGGCTGGCCCTCGTCGCTAACTCTCCGCCCACCTCTTCGGCTGCCACTCCTGGGAGGTCCAAATTCCTGACTTTGCCCTGGCTCGAACCCCGGCTCGTTCCCGCTTGATCCCGCTTCATCCTGCTTCCTCCGGCTTCATCCCGCTTCATCCGCGGCCTGATCCTGCGTAGTAGCCCCCCCGATGGCTAGAAATCCGGCTCATCCCGCTCAATCCCGCTTCTTCCGGTGTCATCCCGCTCAGTCCGCGGCCTAATCCGGCGTAGCTACCCCCCCCCCCCACCCCATGGGCCTTACAAGCCTCCCTAGTCCTTACGACGAAGACCTCCCAGTTGTTGCCTCCTACAGTCGCGCCGCTGCCGATGGAACCCTGTTCGCTCGAGAGAGGCGCGGTGTTCCTTTACAGCTTGTCTTAAGTGTTCCTTTGGTTTTTCCATGGTAAATCGATTTTTTACTTATGGAAAGCAGGGGCCTCGTTCCCCACTTGGGACGTTCCATAAAGGACCTTGCCTTCGAGGATCGACGGGGTTGCCATCTCTTCCGCGGCGGAAGGGTGGCAGAAGGCGGCGGGAGTAAAACGAGGCCGGCGGAAGGACGGCGGAAGGCGTCGGAAGTAAAAGACGCGCCCCCAAGAGGTGAAAACGTTTTTCGGGGGTTCAGGGTTTCCGGAATCCGCAATTTAGTTTTCTTTATGTTTGGATCAAGGTCAAGGATTTGGGCTCAAGTCGAGAGGCACCGTGGGGCGCTCTCTGGTAGGCTAAGTCTCGTACCGCTCAATCTTCCCTGCACTTCGATATCACATCTATGGTTTCTTCTCTACGGGCTGGTGCTGGCACTCGCTCGCCAGGCACACCTGTCCAGCAGCTGTTCAAGCAGCACCTGATTCACAGTCAATTGCATGAAATTGATGGGCTCGACGACGCCTCATACGCCAGGGCGTTGCAGCGACGATACGAAGAGCAACTGGCCGATGTCGGGGGCAGCAGCGTACTCCGGGCCCATCGGCGAGAACGGGGTCCGACGCGAGCATTGGCACGAGCGCTCAAGGGAAACTACAAGAAGTGGAGCGAGAAATCCAACGACTCAAACGTCAAGAAATCGCAGGTGTTACCAACGATTCGAATGGCAAGCGCTCCATCACAGCTGTTTTTGGGAACGTGATTGTTTAACTACTATGACTAACGCGGTGACCGAATGAATGCGGGACCAACTATCGCAATGTGGTGGACCCCCCCGTAGCATGTACATGAAGGGGGACACTACCAATGTACAATTTGCGAAGTTTTTGGGCACGACGGAGCGTGACACAGCAGTTGCCCTTATCAGGAGTTCGCGTCTTCAACGTAATGGTAGAGATATTTTGGCGTCGCCCGATAGGCCGCCAGTCGAGCGCACGGCTCGAAATTTCTGCTTTGGTCTGAAATACGTGCTGAAGGACGCGTTCGAACTCCCTTACATCATCAAGATCACGGACGCGTCCCCATTCGAAGTCCGCGTAGGCGGAGATCTCGCTCTCACGGTCACGGTGGATGGCAACAACAGTAAAAGAGTGGGCGGATACATGGGCCCACTGGAAGGAACTCCATGTACACGACGGTATGACATCGTTGGGGGATAATGTAGATTTTTGGCGGATCGGGCCATGGACGGTATGAATGGCAGGTCCAAGGGGAAACCGGATATAAGGCATGTGTCAGGTATGGTCCCATTTGACACCGGAACCGATTTTGTTGGACATCATGTTCTCCCGCATATCATTCTTAGCACTGGGCGTACCCAGGGCAAAGATTCCGATATACCCACATCTGCGGAATCGCACGCAAGTTCTGCAGTGGGCATGGGCTAATATACCAAACCGCAGCACCAACAACATGCTTCATATTCGCAATAGTTGCCCGATTCTTTTATTCCCGCTGCTCCGTGTACAGATTCTTCTTCTCTGCCTTCCCAGACCCCCCCGACGTGTCAGGCTACATTGACGCAGTCTTGCAGGTCGCTGCACACTTGGATTCGGCCGCGACGAGGAGCCGAACCTCTTGGCAGTTGATTTTGGCATTTGGGACGTTGAAGGCATCCGCGGAGATTCATATGTCAAGCTGGCAGAGATCATCGTTCCAATGGTTGCTCGGCGCCTCGATGACGTGGCCATACCGAAATTCAGTTACACGTATCCGAACTACGATGATGATGATTTCGTGGTCTGCGTTTCTGGAGAATCTGATGTTGCTCATCGTCCGGTGGTTGTGGTAGGCTTTATCGTAGCTCCATGGGCTCGCTCTGCCATAGTAGCGTTCCGGGCGATTTGACCGCGTCAGGCACGCATGGAGAGTCGTATACGATTACGCACCGTTGAACGGGTAAGAAGACAAAATCCGCCAAAACGTTCTTCTCATATTGATTGGACACAATACGAACTACTACGCAACATAGCGCTACGTTTGCACGCGGTGACTTCAGCGCGAAGGTCTTGCAGCAACGACCTGGCGAAGCAGAAAACATCGGCACGCATGTACGTCGAACAAATGTTCTTCGGAGTTCAATGTCGAACCGGCAGCTTCCACTTGAACGCTGCGTCGACACCGGCATGGCCACTGCAAAAACGTTGTTCGGCAATTTTATTGAATAGTAGGTCGCAGATTGAAATCTTAGAGCGGCCCCCATGGACAGTGACATCTCGCCGACAAAATTCTCTCAGATCGATCATGCGTTTTGTCATGCCTCTCTTTTCTTTTGTGCGAAGCTCTGCAGCGCGCGCCGGGCCGAGGCTTTCAACGGCCGCCGCTACTTGATGACGGTGCAATTTGGGGTGTCACTCAGACGGAGCACGTTTATGCGCAGACCCATGCGGACAAAGCCTCGGTGCGGGAGCCTGCCTTGCAGGTTGATTTTACGAATCGTTTTCGCAGCTAGTGGGAAGAAGTTCGCGCTGCAAATTGCTTTCTTGACGAAGCCGGTGGACGTCGCGACTGCTGACGCTGCGACAGACATTCTGCGACGCAGGCCGCAACCTGCCCGGCGACCGTGGATATCTCAGGCGACTTCGGGCCCCTTGGGACAAGGAAACGCACGCCGGCGAATGGGCGACGTCGGTAGCGAGAGCTCGCTTAACAAGGTTATCTGGAAGTCTGCCTGCGCGGACCACGCAAGGCGCATTGGGGGCGGTCGGGGCGCGGTCAAGCAATTGAGGAATAATGCTCAAACCAAACGCGCTTGTGTCAGAGACTCGCGCAACAATCTCACCGATGCCGCGTGGCCTTGAAGATCTGAGCGACTACATCAAAAAGGTCATGTGGAACGTCGCGTTCCCGGAGGTGGCCCTTGCGCAGCAACGCGGCCTTTTCGGGCCAGAGCTCCCCGTCGACGCCCGCCTCAGTTCTGCAAGTGAGTTGCTCTTCGTCCTGAAGTGGATGAAGACTGGCAAGGCATCGGGGCCAGATGATGCCCCGCCGGACTTTCGGAAAGTTGCGTCCCAAGATGCACGCGCATGTCAAGCACGACTGGAGGCGTGCCACAGATGCTGGACAGGAAAAAGACAGAACAGAGAAACGGCGAACGGCAAATATGGTTTCACCGGCCAAGACAGGAGACGCGACTTTACCTAGCAACTATCGTCCGATCTCGCTACTCTCAGTCGGGCGCGAATCTCTGGCGGCCATTCTGCAGCAGCGACCGCCTCAAGGTGATGCGTTAGAGGAGTCCGAGCTTCCAAATTCGGTTTCAGACCTCGCCGTGGCACCGCTGATGCGCTCATGCTGGTGAGACGCATGATCGACGCATCGCTCTTGAACAACAGTGGTGGTATTGTTTCGTTCTGTTGGACTAGGCAAAGGCAGGTGGCCGTCTCAAGCCAAATTGTCTGTGCGCTGCTTTGTCTCGGCTCGGGTTGACCCGGCCTTTCGCGCGCATGATCAACGGGATTTATTCGCGTCGTTATGTCACCAATGTTGACCATTGCGGCACATCTTCGCGGTGATGGCATGCGGCAGGGATCACCCAGGAATGTCCTTTATCCCCGCATTTCTGCATCATGGCGCAAATTGTAATACTCCACGATGCCTGCCCGACCTGCGCCTTCAGCAAGACCCAGGCGATGCGGTTGCCAGGGGTATCTCATGCGCCGACGATAGCGCACTTGTTTCACAACGCCGTGGGAATCTACAGCGCATGTTGGATGTCCCCGTGTTGGGAGAACAGAAATACGGATTGGAGTTGAACTGGGACCAGACAGCACAAATCCACATTGGATTTACGCTTTGGTCAGGAAGCCAGGCGGACGCCCAATCAATATAGCGCAGGAGGCCATATCTTCGGGGGGCCGCGTCACCCATGATGGACGAAATGGTAACGAATTATTAAGGCGTTTGGGGAAGGCCATGGGAGCATTCCAGCAGCTGTCCAAATTGTGGGCGCATTCTGCCGTTGGGTGGCGGCGCAAAGTGCTCATTTACAGCAGCTGTGTGGTCGGTCGATTTTTGTTTTCATTGGACTCGCTGTGGCTCCTGAGCCAAGACGTGGACAAGTTCGACGCATTCCACTGTACATGCCTTCGCCGAGTGCTGTGGATTCCTCATTCCTACACATCGCACGTCAGCAACACGACGGTGTCGGCAAACGCCGAATCGAGTCCATTGTCTTCACTGTTACGGGAACGCCAAATGATGCTCTACAGGAAGATATGCAAAGGCGACGGCACTCCCATAATTTGGGCGAGCCGCAGGCGCCGGGGGCGCCCCAGACAGCACTGGGCAGCTTGTCACGACGCATTAGAACTGCACGCGTTCTTGTGGGCACACTGTTTTCGCTTCTGCTGTTTTTTGCCTGCGCGTTTGTAGGGGGCGCAAAGCCGCAGTCAGTCAATCAGGGTTCCTTATGGCAGCGTTTCGACTGTGGTTGTTTCCTAACGTCTCTTCGCCAACCGAGCCAGCCCAGGTTAGCTGGCTCGTCCGATCGGTGGCCACATGCGAACCCGCCCGGCCACCCCACGAATTCTGAGGGGGGAGGTGGGTCGTGCTTCGTTCGGAGGCCTCCCGAGCGAAGTGAGCCCCACTTCACCCCTTAGAAATCGTGGGGTGGAGAAGAAGGAAGAGGAGGAGGAGGAGGAGGAGGAGGAGGAGGAGGAGGAGGAGGAGGAGGAGGAGGAGGAGGAGGAGGAGGAGGAGGAGGAGGAGGAGGAGGAGGAGGAGGAGGAGGAGGAGGAGGAGGGAGGAGGAGGAGGAGGAGGGAGGAGGACGAGGGGGATCGGGAAGGGTAGGGTCCGCCCGTGGCCACTGCTCGGACGAGGCGCCCCCGTGGCCGCGGGCCGCATGCACTGCCTGGCGCGGACGCCCCCGCCCGTGGGCAGGGCGTCCGCATTGCGGACCTGTCCGCGCACCCCCAGATGCCCAGGACCGGGCTCGGAGAGCATCCCGTCTGGGGCCGAGGCTCGACGACACGTAAGAATCCGAACAGGGGATCGACCACCCTCGGCTTCCCAGATGGGTTCCGAGCAGATGTGGTCGGAGGATCGCGCTCGATGTGGAGCCCGGGATTCCCCACGCCGACGTCGGCGATGCATCGCCGAGGTCCCTGATGCATCGCCGATGCATCGGCGATGCGGCGCCATCCCTCGACCCCATCTACCCGGACCCCATCTAGGAGGCCTTAAGTACAGAGCTGATTAACTCCAGGATTGATTTGTTCGTCGAATCCGTGAGACATGAGTAGAATATTCGTAGATCTACGGGCAGTACGTCTGACTCGACGAGAAAATCCATTATGGGGTAAATCACTTTCGCAGTGGATCTCCTACTCGAAGAGTGGCCGTTTGAGACGGTCACAGGAGAAAAGGTACCGATACCACTACCCTGGCCTCGATGTCGCCTTTTTGGTGCCTCCTGGAGGGTCCTCGTCGACACGGCTGGATTCGCCTCGAAGTATTGGTCAGCGTGCACCTTCGGAAAGGTCCGCGGAGTAGCGGTATCGGTACCTCTTGGTTTCAGCAAAGACGGAGTTCGGGCGAGGAGAAAGCCAAGAAGTTCTGAGATCCGGTGCCTCTGGAGGATGTCTCGGGCGAAACACGGCCTCCTCAGAGCGTTCCAGGACGCTCCGAGAGCGCGTTCCGGGACGCCTTGAAACCGCGCTTCTCCTCGTCGTGGCCCCCCGTCCGACCTCTCGCCAGAGTGGCCTTTGGTGCTGGCCCCTTGGGGCCCCCCGATCGCCGAGTGCGACGTGATGCAGTTGCGTCCTGCGCGCTCGGGTTCAGCTCCCCCCCGCGGCTCCCCGAAAGGCGCGTGCCAGGGATCGCTCTTGCCCGGGGTCGCTCTTGCGGACAGCCGAGAGGCGTCCACCTCGCCACGCACGCCGTCGCCCATGGGCAGGCGCGCCCTGCCGCAGACTCCCCCGCGCCCGAGCACGCGCGGGGCCAAGGCGCAGCTCAGCACTCCGACGCCCTGTCCTCGGGGGCGCAGGGTCGCCCTGGAGTCCGAGATCGACGCTGCGGTCCGCGAGCGCTGCCTCCTCAGCCTGCAGCTGGCCCTGAGTCGCGGCCACCCCTGCCCTGGCGCGCATCACATCTCCGAGGCGGTGAGCCGGGGCCACTGCGGCGCGCTGGAGCTCCTGCTGGAGGCGGGCTCGGAGGGGCTCGACGAGGAGTGCAGAGGCCAGAGGCCGCTGCAGACGGCGTGCGATCGGTCCGCGTGCCAGGGGGACGATGGGTACAGGCTGGCAGAGGCGCTGCTGCGGCACGGCGCCGACCCCGCGTGCGGCGACGTCTCGCACCCGCCGCTGCACGAGGCCTGCAGACGAGGCAACGCCCAGATGGTCCTGCTCCTGCTGCAGCACAAGGCCGACCCCAGCGCGCCTTCCCCGGGCGGCCACTCGCCTCTGCACGCGGCCTGCCAGGGCGCCCCGGTGCTCGACCCCGCGCTGCACCCGAAGGTGGTCGACGTCCTCCTGCTGCACGGGGCCCGCCCGCTCGCCGCCGACGACTTCGGCCTCCCTCCGCGGGCGTACGCGGCGGAGGGCGGCCTGTACCAGAAGCTCGGCAGGGCCGAGAGGTGGTGGACCCGACGCTCCCTCCGCTCCGTGTGCCGCGCCACGGCAGACTGGCCGGGGCTGGCCCCTCCCGAGCGCGGGCCCGAGCGCCTGCTGCACGGTGTGGTCACGCTGTCCGGGGTGCTGGGGGCGGTGTTGGACTTGGTGTCCCACGAGGCGGCCCCGGGCACCCGGTGCTGGCAGCACCAGCGCGGACCAATCCTGCAGTGGGCCCCCTTCTGCTAGGCGGAGAGGTGGGAGGGGCTCTCGCTGGCGTCCCTGGGCGTGCAGCCGCTCTGTCTTGCTCCCATCCTTGCCCTTCTGGAGCCTCTGCTTTCGCCCCGGACGAGGCTTCACGGCACCTGTGCGGCACACAGCGCCGCGCCGCAGTGATGGGCAGTTGCCGTGCTGCAGGGCGGCGGCACCTGAGTGGAGTCTGATGGATGTTGGGAGGCGGCATTCATGAGAAGGAGGAGGAGGGGAGGGAGGAGAGGAGAAGGATAAGTGTTCGATCAGCTGCTACTGCTGTCGTTTTCTGTAGATATTGCCTTGGGAACGGGTGTTGCTGTTTGAAGTTGTTGTACCATGTAGAAAGAATTCGTGTGGCCATGCCACTCCATGATTTTTTGCTGAATTCAAGTGGTAGCATCGTAGCGAAGTGGCGCACTATTATTCAGAACAGTGGCCTTGGGAGGGATGAGAAGCACTATGGATTGGAGGGGGCGAGTTGTAATACAGCGCGCATTGGCACTGGTGTTTTAAAGCAGCTTGGTCATGACAGCTTGCACTTCTGCCAACAAGCGGCATGAAGGCGAGCGCAGGTGCGACATGCACGCTACAAGATCTCTCTGTCTGTTTGTTTTTTTGTGTCCCTCTCTCTCTCTCTCTCTCTCCCTCGCCCTCTATCCCAATACATACTCCATACACCATTCCCTGATATACAGGTATAAGCATCGACATGTGTACATACATACACACATACATAGATGTACACATACACACATATGTATCTGCATATGGGAATGTTTATCTATACATATATATATATATATATATATCAATATACACATATGCGTCCCTGTGTATGTGTATAGTATCCGAGAGAAAGAGAGAAAGTAGCGCTCAGACGCGATCGATTGAAGCCAGAAGGTCCCTTCCGCCTTTGTATGGCCGTTTCGTTTGAGACATGTTGCAGCATTCTGTGACGAGGACGCACACCTCACACAGATCGCGAGGTCAGAGCCACAACACGCAAATGATGCCCAACATGGTCACATAGACCCTTCAACATCATAACGGGTTTCGATTATGTTTGACGCGAGTGTTGGAAACAATGCTGTCTCGCATGAGACATGCCACCAACATTGTAACCTGGCGCATTTGAAGTTATCCTCGTATGACAAGTGCGAGCCGACTATTTCCCAAAGTACACCTAGCTCTACAATGCCTTATCGGGAACTTCCTCCGTCTGTCAGGATAGCTGAGAGTATTCAGAAGCTACCTCCGGTGGCCTATGCTGACAGCTGCACATTGGTACATCGTGGCAACGACGTGAATCCATGCTCCCATTACTACGAAGCTGAAGGCATCGCCCTGAGTACACATGATATGTGTATATATATATATATACATGGATCAGCACATTCGAGGACCATCCAGTGCCGAAAGTTCATTAAACCGCAAGCGAGCTTCGACCAATACAAGACAGTGTTTGAGGAACTGGCGGACATACCGACACAAGACAACAACGCCAGAGACGCCCCAGAAACCGAACCACCGCAGGAATATGGACGGCTCTTCACGATCTATGAAGAATCAGAAGCGGACCTTGAGGCACATATTATGGAGGTGTGGTACACAGAGCTACATCAAGAAGAAAGGGAACTATGAGGGGGAACTCCATTAGATGACCTTTGCACTGTACCCACACACATGATCACTGACAACACTGCGCTGGCCACGGTAGCTGAAGAACAGCGGGGGCACTTGTCGACGCGGGGTCATCCACGCGACTCCGACATGGAGGAGACGTATCATGTCCCACGATGCTCCACGGACGAAGACCATAGTTACGGATTGGACTCGGACGAAAGCGGTCAATCTATAGAATTCTGCCTTACTGCAGAAATGCCAAGGGTGGTCTCATCCGAACAACAGCATTGGATATTAGACTTCGACCGCGTGACCACCATGCGAGTATATGTCACCGCTGCCGCAGAACAAGCCGCGGTCGTCATGGAGGACGACCTCCTCACGAAAGCCGACACTCAGGCGAACCCAGTTTAGGTTTCAAAGCCCCTACATACTGAACTCAAGACATGGTTCGACAACAAGTGTTTCAATATGCAAGATATACCTAAAGTGGCAAACATCGCGATTTCGCAATACGCATATAAGTGGAAGTTCGCATAGCACGAGAAAAGGCGAGATTGAGCGCACCGCCAGACCACGCCTGGTACTTCGGGGTTTCATGGACCTCGAGGCTCTCGATGTGGAAACATTCTTGGGAACAGCACGGCGGCCAAGTCAGGGATTACTCGCAAGCACGGCAGCGTGCAAGAAGCAAGGGGCCATTGCTTCCCTTGACATCAACATGGCTGTCCTGAAAGGGTTTACCCACCAGGAACTTGCTGAGGCAACCGGTGAAAACAAACGCGGGGCGTGCTTTACCTTGCCGCTTGGGTCAGCATCGGCGCTTCGATCCCCCCCCCCCAGGTTTCGAGCGCTACGATGAGCCGAAGCACTGCTAACAGCGCCCCAAGCCAGGCACCAGCACCAAGGATGCACCCAGAGCCTTCTCTCTGAAGCTCAGAAGGACCACGAGAGACTTTGGTCTCAGACCCACGTCCTACGACGAGGAGTGCGAGACAAACAGCAACCTGCTCACAGCCAAACGTGTTGATGATATCAATATGGCCGGCACTGAGAACACCGCCGACAAGTGCGTCAAGTGAGTCGAGGACATTTTTGGTATGTGTACATTCAACAAACACACATCTACCAATTGTGTTGTTGGAGACACAAAGGATGGGGGCGGGAATGTTACACGGGGCCAAAATGAATACATCAAACAGCTCCGTCCTATACAACAGCCTGAACTCACGGGCGCAGACGCCGACGCCAAAGCATCAAATATGGTCGCTGACATGTTCGTCAGCCTGAGAGGCGCGTTGGCTTACGCATTAATCGCACAAGTGTGGTTGATGCTATAGGTGGTATCCCTGCAACGTGTCCAAGAACCTTCCCATATACGAGTGCGACGGCTGAGCGCGATTGCTAGGAAGCTGCAGGCCTGCCCTAAGAAGATCGCCCATCGAATAATGACTCCAACGGGCGAAGTTGACCTGCATAGCGACTCCTGCTATCGACGCCTGAGTGGAGATGCCGACGACGAGGTCAAAGGCTACGGTACTCGCGGGGCAAACCTGCTACGGCGTGGCAGCGCGCCATTTGGTAAGCCTGTCGTCCATATGACCGGTGCGCACTGCAAGTCTCATCGCTTGCAGGTCCGCACAAGCTACTCAGCAGAGACACTAGCGGCAGCCCTCAACTTGAAGGACTGCTATCCCACGATTGTTACTCTGCGCGAACTCCACGCACGGCCACTGACACCTACTCAGTTGAAGGATATACTGGCGATGAGTGGCCTGAGCATTAAGGTCACTTTGTCCATAGATGCTGAATATGTCTCCGTGTCCTTGTCAAGCAAAGACCTGAAGAAGCCGACTGAATGCACCGTTTTGGGGACACATCAGCTGGACACGACGGATGATGGAGCGAGGAATCGTGCACAGTACCCAGTGGTGTGACACTCGCGATATGACCGCGGACGGTCACACAAAGGGGAACATTGACAGAGATATGCTCCTGCAGGCCATGGGAGGCGCGCAATCGTTCAAGCATGATTTCAAACATCACACTCCGTACCGGACCTGCCAGACAACATCGTCTGAGGCCGCCTGAGTAGCATTCGCTGAGACAGCGAGCTGCGCGCGAGGAAATTTGCGCGCAAGGGCACTTGCTTGCGGTTTCACCTCCCTTGCGAACCCGCCTTTTGCTGCTTTTTGCATATGTAGCGTTTACTGTATAGGAGCGGCGGGCTCACGCTTCGCCCCCCCCCCCGACTCGAAACTGGACCGGGACAAGGGCGAGAGATAGGCGAGCGTTTGTCGGGCCATCCGCGCGCCCGGCGCGCTGGGCCAAAGCCCCGAGGGGAGTTCTTTCGGAAAAAGAGCCAACACCAAACCGTATGCGGTCGACCCGCACAACAAGGATGAACGATTTTCCCAAGGGTATCCTTGCATCCTTACTTCCGCCCATCCTTGGCTACTTTCGTTTGCCGCATCCCGCCCGAAAAGCTTCGAAATGGGCGTCCAAGGCCTTTGCAAACTTATCGCGCGTCCTTATGGCACGGGCAGAGTGTAGGATTTGGCGCGCAACCACCCCTGTGGCAAGCCAACAGGAGGCGGCGGATTACGGAAAGAGCGAGGCACGAACGAGAGACGTTTCGCATGGGGCGAAGCCATTATAGGGAGGGGGTCTGGGGGAGGGGGCTAGCGGGGGAACAAAATTCTAGTTACCCTTTTCCCTTGTTTTTGTTGTCCGAGAGAGGCGGCTCCCGGGTGGCTCCCGTCGCCTGTTTTTCATTTGTTTTATAGACGCGCTGCCCCGCGGGCCCCGACGCAGCCCACGAGGGCCCCAAAGCGGCTCCAGAGGGCCCCAAGACGGCCCCAAGAGAGCTTCAGATAGCTTCCAGACGGTCCAAGAGATTCTCGAAACGGCCCCAGAGGCCTTCAAGGAGGCCCCCGAGAGGGCCCCAGGAAGCCAAACACATTGATTTCATTGATTGTTTGGAAAGTTTGTCGGGCTTCCCTTTTTTAATCCCGGAAGGGCCGCAGACGGCCCGAGAGGCCCCAACGATCGCTCCAAGACGGCCCCGGAGGCGCCCCAAACGACCCCAAAACGGTTCAACAGGGGCACCTGACGGGCCCAAAACGGCCCAAGAGGCCCCAAAGATTGCCCCAAGATGGCCCCAGGGGCCGAAAACGGTCCAAGAGGGCCCCCAAACGGCCCAAGGAGGGCCCCAATACGGCCCAAGAGGGCCCCCAGACGGCCCCAAGAGAGCCCCAAGAGGGCCCCGAGAGGCTCCCAAACGAACCCCAGAGGCTGAGGTTGCTGTGTTTGCCCAAGTTTTGTTACCCACTCTGTCCCGCTTCGCCCTCGCTCTCTGCTGCTGGTCTCACACCGTGGGATCATGTAGTTTAAAGGTTGGAAAAATAATTACCCTGCGACGTACCCAGCCCACGTGCATCAAATGGCAAGAGGAGTATGCCAACATTAGCAGGAACAACGACAGTGTAGACGCGGCGATTTGCAGTGCAAGCTACATGGGATGCGCATGCGTCGCACGATTCACAGGGCGACGATCGAAAGAACGAGGCTTGAGGCCCCAGGATCGAAGAAGAACGGGCACGGGAACGAGGGGTGGGAGAGGGATGGAATGGAGGGCGGGGGGGGCGAAAGGCCATCGCGGAAGCAGCAGCATGCATGGAGAAGGTGAGGCGGGGAATAGGACGACGATGAAAGTGGCGGGAGGAGACAGAAGACTGCCGCGTTTTTCAAGTGCGAGCTAAACCCGCAGCGCTGCCTGCGCCATGTCGTCGCAGAGTTCCACATGATAAAACTTGTTTAGAGTGCAAGGAACGAGCGAG